GGAGGCATCTTGGGGCCATCTTGGCCGTCTTGGAGGGCATCTTGGGCCGTCTTGGAGGCATCTTGGAACCATCTTACCCGTCTTGGAGGCCATCTTGGCCGTCTGGAGGCATCTTGGAGGCCATCTTGGGCCATCTTGGCCGTCTTGGAGGCCATCTTGGGCCAAGTTGGGGCAACAAAGGCATTGACCGACGGATTTTGGGAAAATTACGGGTGGCCGGCGGGACGGGCCGAAGCCCACTGGGGAGTTCTTTTAGAAAAAGAACCAAAACCAAAACCTGAAACGTCCAGCACGCCGTGCACCCCTGTGGCAAGACCACAGGGGGCGGCGGATCGAAGACGCCTACGGCGAATCACCGCCGCCCCCTGCCTTTTTGGAAACGCCGATGTGGCCGAAAGTTGGACTAGAGCTTGGCCAAGCTATCGGACAATGAGTTCCCCGAGTCGGTTTGGAAAGCTTTCGGGGAACACATGGGAGAGAATGATTATGAACAGGAAGAGGAAGAGGAAGAAATAGAGTAGGAGGATGAGGGTTGTTAGGAGTCTCTTGGGGCACCCTTGGGGTCTGTTGGGGGCTTCTTGGGGGCCTCTTCGAGGCCTCTTGGAGGCATCTTGGGGGCCTCCTTGGGCCTCTTGGGGGCCTTTGGGGGCTTCCTGGGGGTCTCTTTGGCCGTCTTAGGGCGTTCCTGGTCCGTCTGACGCCGTCTGGAGCCGTCTTGGGGGCCTCTCTGGGCCGTCTTGGGGCCCTCTTGGGGCGCTTCAGGGCCGTCTTGGAGGCCATGTTGGGCGTCTTGGAGGCCTCTTGGGCCGTCTTGGGGCGCTCTTGGGGCCGTCTTGGGGGGCCCTTGGGCCGTCATAGGGCCTTCTTGGAGGCCTCTTGGGCGATCTTGGGGGCCTCTTGGGCCGTCGGAAGGCCGAAAAGAAGAAAACGCAAAAAACCTTCAAAAACCTAAGGAAAACCAATGATTTTGGCCTCTTCGGGCTCTCCTGGAGAACGTCTTGGAGGCCTCTTGGGCCATCTTGGAGGCATCTTGGGGCCATCTTGGCCGTCTTGGAGGGCATCTTGGGCCGTCTTGGAGGCATCTTGGAGCCATCTTACCCGTCTTGGAGGCCATCTTGGCCGTCTGGGAGGCATCTTGGAGGCCATCTTGGGCCATCTTGGCCGTCTTGGAGGCCATCTTGGGCCAAGTTGGGGCAACAAAGGCATTGACAGACGGATTTTGGGAAAATTACGGGTGGCCGGCGGGACGGGCCGAAGCCCACTGGGGAGTTCTTTTAGAAAAAGAACCAAAACCAAAACCTGAAACGTCCAGCACGCCGTGCACCCTTGCAAGCAGGGGGCGGCGGATCCTAGTGGCCTTCGGCCCATCCCGCCACCGCGCTTGGGTTGTGAGTCTGAGGCCTCGTGTACATGTGTTGGGGTGTCGTGGGGAGCCTCTCGGGGGCCTCCTGGAGTTTGGGCGTCTCTTGGGGGCCTCTTGGAGCCTCGTGGGGTATCTGTTGGGCCTCTTGGGCGCCTCTTGGGGCCTCTTGGCGGCCTCTTGGGACCTTCTGGGGGCTTCTCGGGGCACAAATATTGAATGTTCGGCGCGTGGTCCCCTGCTTGGGCCCCTCTTGGGGCCGTCTTGGGGCCCTCTTGGGCCGCCTTGAGCGCTTCTTGGGCCATCTTGGAGCCATCTCGGGACCCTCTTGGAGGCGTCTTGGGCTGTCTTGGGGCGGTCTTGGGAGCTCCTTGAGGCGTCTTGGAGCGTCGGACAGCCGAAAGTGCGAGAAGGCCAAAATCCTTCAAACACTGTTTTGTAAAATCTACGATTTGGGCCCCTTGGGGCTCTCTCGGGAGGCCTCTTGGAGCGCTCTTGGGGCCTCTTTGGGCGGTCTTGGTCCGTCTTGCAACCATCTTCGGGCGCCCTGGAGCACTCTTGGCCTCAGCAATGCGAGTATGGCTGAATCTGCACAGGTTTATGGCCTCGGGGACGGGAATATTGCGTAATGTACATGCTTTGTTCCCTTTGGGACGCAAGAATTGCATAATGTACGAGGGTTTGTGGCCTCGGGGACGCGAACACTGCGTAATTGAAAAGGGGGTATGGCCTCGGGGGCGCGAATCTCATGTATTTTCACATGTCCCACGCTCCCATGAATTCAGAGAACGCGATCCCGGCGTGGTAACCGGGCGATTTGGGGCTCCCCCCGCTCGCGCGATCGTCAACAATCGACCATAGGAAGCAGAAAGTAAGACTGTAAAATTCGAGACTTGAAATTGCAACTGGCGCAGGGAGCCGCATACTTCGGCCTACAGCCTGGTGGCCCCACAAGGGGGCCCGCGGAGTTGGGGATGTGGTCCTGAAGTACGATGGGAACAACAGAAGACGAGGCAGGGAACGCGCGGGTGCGTCCTCACCTTATTAAACACCCCCGCGGCCGATGTCTGACTGTGTGCCGATCGCCTTGCCGAGGGCCCACTGCCTCGCACGCTTCCTTGCGAGGTGGACGCCTCCGCCCAATCCTGCCTGCACGTCCGCGGCACCTGCCTGCGCGTCCGCAGCAGCAGAAGTCTAGGCATTCGAGTCCAGAGGTCTCGAAGGGCCTCCGCAGGAGGCCTCCCGCAGGGGCCTCCTGCGGAGGCCCCTTGCGGAGGCCCAACAGGCCAAGAAAGCACCCGATTTGTTGCTTGAATGGCTCATTGGCAATTGGTTTGGTATATCTGCTGGCTGGCTGGAGGTGCGTTTCCGCCTGCGCCGAGCGAGGGGGGGGAACTGAGAAGGGGCGGGGCTCGGAAGTCCCCTGGCCTTCTGAGAAGTTTTCTAAGCCTTCCCCGAAGACACAGAAAACTGATCAGAAGGCGCGAGGGCTTCTGAGAAGTCCCGCCGCCTTCTGAGAAGGCCTCCTCCTTCTCACTTCCCCACCTCGCTCGCCTCCGATGCATGAGAAGTGGTGGCCTCGGGAGCGCGCTTCCCCTACAATTTACAAGGGCTCGACGCTTCGGGGACGCCCACGTCCAGCTGTTTGCGAGGATGGTTGGCCCCAAGCCCCGAGCCTAATTCTCAGTAAGCGCCTGGGGGCCGAGCCCCCGAACACTGGAAGATCACAGTTTCTCTGCTCTGAAGAAGGGGTGGCGCTTTGGGGCAGCCTCCGTGGGGTGGTTTCGTGGCCTCGGCAGCGCCAACGCGTAGCAATTTGCCAGGGGTTGCGGCTTCAAAGACGCACTCGTGTCATGTGCACCAGGGGTTGCGTGCTCGGGCTTCGGGAGCGCGAGTCTGGCGTAATGTACCAAGGATTGGCTTAGATTGGGAGCGCGAATCTGGCATAGCTTACGAGAGATTGTGGTTGGGGAGCCCGAGCCTGGCGCAATCTGCTAGGGACGATGGCTTGTGGAGCGCGGTTCTGAGGTAATGTTTCGTGGGATTGTGACCTCAGGGGCGCGAGTCTTGATGCAGTTCACTGGCGTTTGTAAATCGGGGAGGACGAGCACGGCATAAGTTTCACATCGTGTTTTGGGGACCGCGAAGTTGGTGTATAGTCAACCCGCACGGTAAGGATGGGCAATCGTCCCAAGGGTACTTTTGCATCCTTGCCTCCTCGGTCCATCCTTGGCAACTTGCGTTGGCCGCGCCCCGCTCGAAAAGCTTCGAAATGGCCTTCCAAGGCCCTTGCATCCTCATCGTGCATCCTTATGATACGGGTCGACTGTAACTTACAAGCGGATGTGTCTTGAGAAGCGCGAGTGTGGTGCAGTTTGTTTTGACTTGTAGCTTGGGGAGCGCGATTTTGGCGTGCTTTGCTGGGGATTGTGGTTTGGGGAGTGCAAGTTGACGTGAATTATAAGGGGGCATGGTTTGGGGAGCGCGAGTTTGGCGTAATGTACTGAAGGTTCTTGTTTTGGGGAGCTCGAGTCTGGTGTACTTTACCAGGGCATGTGGCTTGAGAAACGCAAATCCCAGGTAACGTACGAAAGGTTACGGCGCTGGGAGCACAAATCCCTTGTCATTGACCAGGGATTGAGGCTTCGAGAGCGCTAACGCGACGTAATTCACGAAGGATTATGGCCACGGGACACGAACGTGTTGTATTTTGAAAAGTCCCAGGGCCCTCCCAGCAGCGAAGAGTTTTTCGGGCTCCCCCCCTCACGTGGATTCAATTCACTACAACAGTGGAGCTCGAAAACTGAATATGTTCTTTATTATAGTTTGGGAATTTTGAAGCGGTGCAGGGAACGGGGAAGCTTCGCGTTCGCAACGTGAAAGCCCCGCAAGGGGTTGGGGCTGGTGTGTACAACAATGTGCACAATAAATATACAATCATATGCCTATATAGCTATAGATGAGGACATACTTGTATACAAGTATGTACATATACATCAGCGTATAGACATACAGACACAAATAACTATATCTATACACCTACATATTTCTATACCGCACGCTTTTCGGCGATCTTCGATCCTCGAGTCTGGCCGCGTGTGTATCTGGCTTCCTGGCGATGGTCGTCGTCGTAGACCGACTCGACGGACGTCGACGACGACGACGACGACGACGACGACGGACGACGGACGACGGACGACGGACGACGGACGACGGACGACGACGGACGACGGGCGACGACGACGACGACGACGACGACGACGACGACGACGACGACGGACGACGGACGACGGACGACGGACGACGGACGACGGACGACGGACGACGACGACGACGACGACGACGACGACGACGACGACGACGACGACGACGACGACGACGGACGACGGACGACGGACGACGGACGACGCCGACGCCGAGGCCGAGGCCGAGGCCGAGCAGGTTCGGCTCGGAACGAGAAATGTAAAAAGAAACGCCTTGGCTCTCAGCGCGCGGGCGCGCTGGCACCGCGGGCGGCGCCGCCGGTGCGCGCTCGCGCCCACCCTCGACAGCAGCTGGCGCCACCAGCGCCGCCACGGCTCTCACCGCGAGGGCTTGTCGGTGGCGGCGCGCGCTCGCGCGCTGTCGCGCTGCGCATGCCATGCTCGGGGCGGGGCACGAGCCCCTCCTCGGCGGGAGCCCCTCCGGGAGCCCGCCGGCGCCGACCAGGGCCAGCTTGCCGGCGCGGGCGGCGCGCGAGAGGCGCCCTCAGAGGGCTTTCGGCGGCCCTCGGCGGCCTTCGGGTGCCTCTGACGACCTTCGGCGGCTTTCGGCGGCCCTCGGCGGCATCGGGGGCCTCTGGCAGCCACTGGCGGCCAAATCGCCCGAGATTCACCACCAGGTGTTTGCGAGGGATCGTGGCCCTCGGAGCGCGGGCGCAGCGTAATTTACAACGGGTCGGGGCCTTGGGAGCTCGGACGCAATGTAATTTACGAAGGATCGTAGCCCTTGGAGCGCGGGCGCAGCGTAAAATATAAGAGATCGGGGCCCTGGGGGCTTGGACGCAGCGTAATTTACAAGGGGTCGGGGCCCTGGGAGCGCGGACGCAGCGTAATTTACAAAGGGTCGGGGCCCTGGAGCGCGACCCCAGTGTAATTTACGAGGGATCGTGGCCCTGGGAGCGCGGACGCAGCGTAATTTACAAGGAGTCGGGGCCTTGGGAGCGCGACCCCAGTGTAATTTAAGAGGGATCGCGGCAGTGGGAGCGCGGACCTTGCGTAATTTGCAAAGGATCGTGGCCCGCCACCCAGGGGGTGTCTAAGATGTAGGTCCCGCGCTGGAACCACGTGTTGTCACGTGCCCAGGTCGCCCAGAGGATGTATCTAACATGGTGGCCCCCTGCTGGAAGCGCGTGTTTCCACGTGTCCACGCCACTCAGGGGGGTATCTAACATGGTGGTCCTGAGCTGGAACCGCGTGCTTTTACTTGTCCAAGCCACCCATGAGGTATCTAACATGGTGGTCCCGAGCTGGAACCACGTGTTTTCACGTGCCCAGGCCACCCAGGGGGTATCCAACATGGTGGTCCCGCGCTGGAACCACGTGTTTTCACGTGTGCAGGCCACCCAGGTGAGTATCTAACATGGTGGTCCCGAGCTCCAACCGCGTGTTTTCACGTGTCCACGCCACCCAGGAGGGTATCTAACATGGTGGTCCCGAGCTGGAACCACATGTTTTCACATGTCCAGGCCACCCAGGTGAGTATCTAGCATGAATTTCCTGGATCCTTATTGGGACCCGGAACGGAACGTCGAGAGTTGATTCCCAACCCTCCTGCGTTGGGTTCTCGTTTTGAATAGAGCACTGCTCGCGCGTCTCCTTCCTTACTTTCTTCTTTCCCGCCCCTCTCATCCCCCTTGCCTTTTGCCTCGCTCGTCGCTGCGTGCCAGCTGGGGGGCTGCGACCTGTGAAACTGTCGCCACTTTCGAGGCCTGCTGGGGGGCCCAGCACAGTGGGTACACACGGCGGATTGAAATTGCACCTCGCCGTCCCTGGGGGGCTGCGATCTGTGAAACTGTCGCCACTTTCGAGGCCTGCTGGGGGGCTCAGCACAGTGGGTACACACGGCGGATTGAAACTGCACCTCGCCATCCCTGGGGGGCTGCGATCTGTGAAACTGTCGCCACTCTCGGGGCCTGCTGGGGGGCCCAGCACAGTGGGTACCCACGGCGGATTGAAACTGCACCTCGCCATTCCTGCGGGTCTGCGATCTGTGAAACTGTCGCCACTTTCGAGGCCTGCTGGGGGGCTCAGCACAGTGGGTACCCACGGCGGATTGAAATTGCACCTCGCTATCCCTGGAGGGCTGCGATTTGTGAAACTGTCGCCACTTTCGAAGCCTGCTGGGGGGCCCAGCACAGTGGGTACACACGGCGGATTGAAATTGCACCTCGCCATCGCTGGGGGGCTGCGATCTGTGAAACTGTCGCCACTTTCGAGGCCTGCTGGGGGGCCCAGCACAGTGGGTACACACGGCGGATTGAAATTGGACCTCGCCATCCCTGGGGGGCTGCGATCTGTGAAACTGTCGCCACTTTCGAGGCCTGCTGGGGGGCCCAGCACAGTGGGTACACACGGCGGATTGAAATTGGACCTCGCCATCCCTGGGGGGCTGCGATCTGTGAAACTGTCGCCGCTTTCGAGGCCTGCTGGGGGGCCCAGCACAGTGGCCACACGCAGATTCAAATTTGACCTCGCCATCCCTGGGGGGCTGCGATCTGTGAAACTGTCGCCGCTTTCGAGGCCTGCTGGGGGGCCCAGCACAGTGACGCCACACGCAGATTCAAATTAGACCTCGCCATCCCTGGGGGGCTGCGATCTGTGAAACTGTCGCCACTTTCGAGGCCTGCTGGGGGGCCCAGCACAGTGGGTACCCACGGCGGACTCAAATGAGACCTCGCCGTCCCTGGGGGGCTGCGATCAGTGAAACTGCCGCATCTTTCGAGTGCTGCTGGGGTGCCCAGCACAGTGGGTACCCACGGCGGATTCAAATGAGACCTCGCCATCCTTGGGGGGCTGCGATCTGTGAAACTGTCGCCGCTTTCGAGGCCTGCTGGGGGGCCCAGCACAGTGGGTACCCACGGCGGGGCCAAATGGGACCTCGCCATCCCTGGGGGGCTGCGATCAGTGAAATTGTCGCCACTTTCGAAGCCTGCTGGGGGGCCCAGCACAGTGGGCACCCACGGCGGGCTCAAATGTGACCTCGCCATCCCTGGGGGGTTGCGATCTGTGAAACCGTCGCAATTTTCGAGGCTTGCTGGGGGGCCCAGCACGGCGGGTACCCACGGCGGACTCAAATGAGACCTCGCCATCCCTGGGGGGCTGCGATCTGTGAAACTGTCGCCACTTTCGAGGCCTGCTGTGGGGGCCCAGCACAGTGGGCACCCACGGCGGACTCAAATGGGACCTCGCCATCCCTGGGGGGCTGCGATCTGTGAAAACTGTCGCCCGTTTCGCGGCCGGCTGGGGGGCCCAGCACAGTGGGTGCCCACCGCAGACTCAAATTAGACCTCGCCATCCCTGGGGGGCTGCGATCTGTGAAACTGTCGCCACTTTCGAGGCATGCTGGGGGGCCCAGCACAGTGGGTACACACCGCAGATTCAAATTAGACCTCGGCATCCCTGGGGGGGGCTGCGATCTGTGAAACTGTCGCCACTTTCGAGGGCTGCTGGGGGGCCCAGCACAGTGGGTACACACCGCAGATTCAATGTGACACCGCCATCCTGGGGGGCTTTGTTTATGTGTGCGTTTGTTTGTGCGTTGTTGATCTGAATATTGTCTAGTTCTTTCAGGGGCTGCGATCTGTGAACCTGTCGCCACTTTCGAGGCCTGCTGGGGGGGGGCAGCACAGTGGGTACCCACGGCTGACTCAAATTAGACCTCGCCATCCCTGGGGGGCTGCGATCTGTGAAACTGTCGCCATTTTCGCGGCTTGCTGGGGGGCCCAGCACAGTGGGTACCCACCGCAGATTCAAATTAGACCTCGCCATCCCTGGGGGGCTGCGATCTGTGAAACTGTCGCCACGTTCGAGGCTTGCCCAGGGGCCCAGCACAGTGGGTACCCACCGCAGATTTAAATTAGACCTCGCCATCCCTGGGGGGCTGCGATCAGTGAAACTGTCGCCACTTTCGAGGGCTGCTGAGGGGCCCAGCACAGCGGGTACCCACTGCAGATTCAAATTTAACCTCGCCATCCCCGGGGGTCTGCGATCTGTGAAATTGTCGCCACTTTCGAGGCCTGCTGGGGGGCCCAGCACAGTGGGTACCCACCGCAGTTTTAATTTAGACCTCGCCATCCCTGTGGGGCTGCGATCTGTGAAACTGCCGCCACTTTCGAGGCCTCTTGGGGGGCCCAGCACAGTGGGTACCCACCGCAGATTCAAATTCGACCTCGCCGTCCCTGGGGGGCTGCGATCTGTGAAACTGTCGCCACTTTCGAGGCCTGCTTGCGGGGTCCAGCACAGTGGGTACCCACCGCAGATTCAAATTAGACCTCGCCATCCCTGGGGGGGCTGCGATCTGTGAAACTGTCGCCACTTTCGAGGCCTGCTGGGGGGCCCAGCACAGTGGGTACCCACGGCAGATTCAAATTAGACCTCGCCATCCTTGGGGGGCTGCGATCTGTGAAACTGTCGCCACGTTCGAGGCCTGCTGGGGGGCCCGGCACAGTGACGCCACACGCAGATTCAAATTTGACCTCGCCATCCTTGGTGGGCTGCAAAATGTGAAACTGTCGCCACTTTCGAGGCCTGCTTGCGGGGCCCAGCACAGTGACGCCTCCCAAGTAGCTTACACATCAAGTTGATTGTCCATACAAGTTTCGGCCAATTCCTCGCTTCCATTGATACAAATGGGTTGGGTACGTCACAGGGTAATTTGTATGTGATATCGGTTCGTTTACTTTTTGACCTCCAGGCGCCTCTGGGCGTTCCTGGGCCCTCCTGCGCTCCAGACGACCGCATGTTAGATATCCCCCTTGGGTGGGCTGGACCACGTGTTTTTACTTGTGCAGGTCACCCAGGGGGGTATCTAACATGGTGCTCCCGAGCTGGAACCGTATGTTTTTACATGTCCAGGCCACCCAGGGGGATATCTAACATGGTTGCCCCGAGCTTGAACCACGTGTTTTCACGTATCCAGGCCACCCAGAGGGGCTATATAACATGATTGTTCTGAGCAAGGACCACTTGTTGTAACGAGTCCAGGCTATTCAGGGGTGTATATATCATGGTTTCCTGAGCTGGCACCATGTGTGTTTTAGGTCTCCAGACCATCCAGGGGGGTATCTGACATGGTTGCCCCGAGCAAGGACCACACATTTTAATTTTCCGTAGCGCGTCCCTTCGGCACGTCCCGCGGTGCGTCCCCGCGGCACTTCTCCTGGCACGGGGGCGTCCTTTGGGACGTTCCGCGGCGCGTCTTCCTGGCATGCTCCCCTGTCAATTAGCTCTGGGACAGCTACTATGTGCTGAGGCAGCTCGAGCTTAAGATCCAGATCAGTTCGGTCAGGACTCGGATGCAAGGGAGGACTCGATCCACAACGTTATAGAGCACAATCGCGGCATGGCACATCGCAATTCAGCACGGCGTTGCACAGCACAGCCCTCGGCACGGTACATCAAGATCGATACACTCAGCATTGCGTTTGCTCGTCGCCCAATCAGGTGTCTTTGAAACGTTGCCATGCCGTACATGTCTATATT